CAACCCCAGCGGCTGCCTCGCAGCTTTTACCCCCCACCCCCGCGTTAGTGAGGGCAAAACAGCATGCGCACATATCTGCTGTTATTCCTATTATCGTTGTTATTTTTAACGCGTGCCTGGAGCCCGTGAATTTGAGGGGTGTTGGTTGGAGGTTTTAAGTGCTGGCTGTCAGCGGCAGAGATGCCCTGGGGATAACTGCAGGGATGTACTGGTATCTTCAGGTGTATTTGGCCAATGCTGGTACTCTTAAATTTCCCACCAGGACTCCTGACTTTTATTTTTTTCCACGAGTTTTGATGTGTGTGTGTATACAGCGTCTCTATACATTTCTGTTTACGTGTCTGCGGTACAAGACCAAGCCAAAGCCGCATAGTGACCTGCCAAACTTCGTAGCTGAGCCTGGCGCTCCCTCTGCTGACAGCTGCCGTTTAGCTCCACTCCAGTAACGACGCACTTGCATTTTCAGAAATGGCTTCTACAGCAAATAAGGTTCCCCCGTTACATTAAAGCTTGACATTAACCTTTGCAGTCATTTTACTGCATGCTTTTTCTTCTATAGTCACGTTGGCTTTTGTAAAGGGGGTGTGAGATGCTACCAAATAAAGTTTTTCACTTCGATACGGTTGAGTGTGTTTCCTTAACTCAGAAATCAAGGCAGACTGTTGGTTTCTGTGCCTGCAGAATTGAGCCTCGGGTAATGGTGCAACAGACAAGGCAGAGAGTTTAGGTCTGGTTCAGACAGAGACCAGGGGAAGGTTCTACTGTCTCAGCAATGCAGGTAATACTGTTTGAGATACCTTCAGGGGCAGGAGGCACCTGGGTGAAGCTGACAAGCATGATACAGCAGGTAGGGAAGGTCTTCAGCTTCTTGAGCAGCAGGTGAAAGGCCTGGCAGTGTGGGGTAGGGCATCTCTGCCAGCTTTAAATGTCGTTGTTTAGGCAGCTGAATCACATCTCATCTCTCCCTTGTTCTGCTCTTTAGTTCAGAGGTTATCAAAGGATGGAAAGTAGTCTTTCAACTTCAGTTTCTGTGCTCGTTTGCCAAATATTGGGCCACGACTTCTTGGCTTTTGCCTGGAGAATGTGGAGGTAGGCCTGACTAAACTCAGAGTTTCTTTCCCCTGAGATCAGATGGAGTTTTCCAGTGCGCAGAGGTGTAGATGTTACGGGAGAGGCCTGAGCCTTTTAGTGTGATATACTTTTCTTCTGGCTGGGTCTATTCTGTAGAGGCTGCATGACAGTGGTCTAACTGGTATGGGTCATATACATAGCCTCCATGCTTTTCCTTCTGAACCAAATTTGCATGGTTCCCATCCCATATTTTTACTCTCTTCCTGTAACCCCACCTCACCAAATCAAAGATGTGTGTCTCCTATACTTTCCTGTGAAGTAGTTTGAGACTGCTTGTCCTCCTCTGCAAATGATGAGAACCTGCGCATGGACGGTCTGTAAAGCCATTGGCCGCTGTTCACCTGTGTATGGCAAATAAAGTTGGGCAGGCCAAGCCTTTTGAACCAAATCTGTTAAGTGGACAGTTTAGTCCTGGTAAGCTTGCTGAACAAGCCTGCAAATCAGATTAATTCTGGTAAGGGTGTAATCCATTAGATGCACTTAGGGGAATGTACTCGATATGAACTTTTCATGCCTCTCTTCATGAGACTTTTTTTTTCCCCTCTCAGGTACCTTTACTTCTTTTTTTTTTTCTTTTTTCTGCCTCACTGTGCTTTTTTGGCTAAGCAAGTTTGAGATTTCTTGATCATTTTTTAGCCAATGAAGGTTAAGTGGACTGTTGCTCTCTGTGTGTTTAACCTGGTTGGAGATAGAATCCTCAATAAGAAAATTATTTTGAACTATTTGTCTTTAGAAGCAAGTGTGGTTTTGTGAAAGAATGAATTGCAGACTGTGTGCTGGGCTGCCATCAAGAAGGGAAAATGATTATTTAGGAGAGTAAGAGATTTGGGAAGGGAGAAAATCAGAGTCAAAAATCTACAAAAAGCCCTTAGTGAGCACTGTTGCTTTGAAGGGAAATGGGAGACAGTTGCTAACAAATCTGTAATAATAATAATTTTGCAGAAAGGAAGATTGGCTCTATAACCCCCTTGATCTCTTCAGCCTCTATATTTCTGAAGTCACACGAAATAATTAGTTCAGTAGTCTCCTCCTTTTTATGAAACTGTGCCCTGTTAGAGTTTTGTCATAGTGAGATTTCCTTATACATTTTGCCTCAGTTACATGTTAGCATGGTTATACTTGAATTAGCTCTGAGTAAGAGACCCTAGGAACTGGCAAGAGTCTAGTGGTGGTAGAATGGATCTTAGTGCTGAATAATTAGGGTTGTTGTTTTTTGTCAGGCTATGTGATCTATATGTGGTCAGGATATGTGTAAAAAAAATTGAATAATGCTTTTTGGCAGGTCAAAAAAGCTGACCAGGAGGTCAGGGTTCAAACTGTTATGGCAATGCATGTACCATCTCAAAGTTGGTAAGCTTTGTCATAGTCTTAAGTGAGGTCTGGACTCTTCCCTTGGGTTTGAAGGAAGTGGGAAGGGAGAAAGGAAAAGAAAGTAGGCTCAGAGGGATGTAGGAAGGTACTGCATGATCTCAATATAGTGGTAGACCAGAAGTGGCAAAAGATGCAACAAAACCTGGAGAAGGCTGGTGACCCTTAAGTAACTCACTGGTAGGTAAAGCTGTATTGCCACTAAATTCAGTAGTTAATCTATGTACACAGTTTTCTATTCCTTCTCATGACAGGAATGTGAGCTGTGTGAAGTTTGGCCTTGGTAGAGGGGCTAAATGAGTTGTGGAGCATCCTGGTTGCTAGTTCTTGGACATCTACGCATTGAACACACTTTTCTACTCTCAAAAAAAAGCAATTTTTGCTAAATGTCATATTCACTTAAAAGTGGCAATTAGGAAAAAGGAGCCAAATGGGAGCAGTTCACCTCCAACTCAAACATTTGGTGAGGCATGAATAACTTAGAAGCTAAGACGATACAAATCTCATGACAGTTCCATGGAGAGACTGTAGAGAGAAGGAAATTAACTGAAACTACTGTGTGAAAACAGGAGGGGAAGGCAGGTTAAAAACTGCAAATGGAGGTAGTGATATTGTGAATAAAGGAGTGAAGAGGAAGAGGAAAAACTGGAAAATGAAATCTAGCATCGTGGCAGTCTTTATAAAACTATTTTTGGGAGGGTTCCTCTTAATGAAAGAGAGTTTAATAACAAAACTTCAGAGATGGGGAAAACCTCAGTCTGAGGAAGAACGTCCTTTGCAGACTCAGTTTTGTCAGCTCCAAATAATTCATAAAATCTGAAATTATTGAAAGTCCTATTACCATCGTAGAAATGACATATGAGATGGGGAGGCTATCTCTCTAGGGCAGACTGAAGTATTTAATTTTTCAGGCAGGACACTTACTGTGTGTTATTATTTCTTCTTCCCAGATCACCAGCATGGAAGTTCAAACCATGGAAGATCATTTGAAAGTCCATAAAATGAAGAAGAAGGTATTGAGGAAGCAGGTCAGAGCTCAGCATACATTGATGAGACATGAGGGCATTGAGTGCATCTCCCATGCCACGCAGGTGACTGGCAGTTTTGATTTTGTTGGTAGTGTGAAAATGCTGCTTCTTTCTGTTCTAGTCTCACATACACTTTGTCTAAAATGAAGTTCTCCTCCAAAATGCGCTTCCTCAGATTGAGGATTTTCTGTGCCTTTTTGATTTCAAAGCAGAGTTGTACTTCAGCAGTTTAGTGTCTGTGGAGAGACTTTTATGGCTTTTGGATAAGTTTGTTTTTTTCTTTTTAATCTGAAGCAGTAGTTCCTTGGGTTGGGGAAGAGGAGAAAGCCTGGGAAACATTACCATGTTGAAGTAGATAAACTTAAGTTTTCTTTTTCTGTGTGATTTTTCTTGTCTGGCTTTTAGCTTTTGTATCTTTCTTTCCTCTATATTTCTCTATCAAGTATGATTTGTCTTGTTTAAACTCCCTGTTAAAAACACGTCTGTCTTAGAAATCTTTCCCACGTTGCTTTCTTCACCTAAATTGATTTAGGCTGTGGTTCTGTGGGAGTTGAACTGAGTGACTGACTTGCAGCTGTTGAAAAGGGGACAAGTTTCTCTTCCCTTACACAAAGGGGGACAGGATAGGAGGGAATTCTGTTTTCTTATGTTGCTCAATGAACTTTATCGTAAGCCACTTTATTCCCTAATCTAACAAAACTACTCGGCTTTTTGATTTGTCATTTTCTGCCACAGTAGAGAGTTACAGCAGATCAGAGGGTGACCTCACAGGTACTGGTATAGCAGAAAGTGATGAACTGGCAGAGAGGAAAGGGAAGTTAGAGAGTTCATAGTTTCCCTCCATCAGTTGTGAGGAGATGCTAATGGCTTGTAACACTGTAGAGCAGTACCATTTACTCTACCCTTGTTCATCTTGATCCTGCCAATTCTCCGCATTCAAATATGGAAGTATCAGTTAGATATTTATACTTTGTTGTAACAAAATTTGGCTTAGTCTTCACTCAGATTTCACACCATGTGGGCATATGCTAAAATGACCCAGCAATCTTGTGTATATTGTAAGCTCTTTGGAGCAGGGACTGTGTTTTTCTAGTGTTGCTTGGAAATGGGTCCATAATCAGGGACTTGTTCCCCTCTACGCTGCCCTAGATACCAAATTATCCATCTAATCTATCCAAAGAGTAATTTTTGGGTCCAACAAGATGTTCACTGATGATGGAATATTTGAATAAGTGATGTATGAAACAAAATCATAGTGCTATTGATAAACCTGTGTCAAGAACACAGAAAATGCTTTCAGGCTTTGTGCAAGAGTCTGATTACATTGAAATCGCTCAGTCAGGAGAACATGATGAGTTGCCATACAAACTGCTGTTGCGTAGTGACAATCTTTGTAGATGAAGTGGCTATAGCCAGTGAAAGCACTGTTTTGAGTCTGAGTTTCCTCTACACACATAGGTTTCCCCATTAATAACACTTTAGAAAATAAAAATAACTAATAATGTGGTCAGCTTGGAAACATATGATCGGTAATGGACAGTCTGGTGCAGCACTAAGAGCAAGTGTTAACAGAGCCATCACAATAGGCATAATCACAGCAGTACCTCAGGCGTGCTCACTATATACAATTCTTTTTTTAATAATCCTCTTCAGTTTTAAATCTAATTTTCTGACTTTTAGAGAATTGAAATGCTATAATTTGAAACAATTGAACACTTTAGCAACTGCCTTCAGAAAAGGTCATAGAACATTTATAGGCTTTAAGGAAAAGATTGTCTGAAAGCTTTCTGGAAGGGTATTACATAGTGTCGGAGTAAATTGTTGCTGGCTGTTTGGAGTCACTATAGCTCAATCAAAACTTCAAGACTGCATCCTCATTTGGCCTTAAAAAGGGACTTAAACTTCTTTCAACCACCATGAGTAGATTGGATATCCAGTTATGGCATATAGCTATTTAGATGTCAAAAGAACTTGTTAATTTGTTTTGAAAAGGCCTATGTATTTTCAAATTATATTGCTTGAATAGTAGTCCTTTGAAAAGTTCTGTTTTGTTGTTTCTTGTAATATTTGGCAAACCAGCAACAGTCCTCGCAAACTGCATACTGCTTGATAATTTTGGACATAAATCGTTATGAAAGTGTAGAATTAAGCAGTTAGGCATTGTGCATGAAGTAATCTGTGTTAACTATGGATGGGACATAAATCCCTTTTGTTTATAAAAACGAGGGAGAATTTTCAGAGTACTTGAGCAGAGCTAGACGCTTTGTTTCTGGTTTTTTTTGGTGAACCTGATGTATGGAGGACTTGAAGTGGGACCAGGAATACCAATCTCTCTATGCTTGGAGAGACTCCTTGGCAAAGATGAGAAAACCTTTCTTTAAAAAAGAATCGCAGTTTCCAAAGGTTTTTCTCTTTGTTTTTGTTAACAGGTCTCTGGAAAAATTCCATTTTAGAAACCTCCAAAATTATGTGTGCCAGTGTCACTATTTACCTGCAGCACATTGACGCACGCATGGTGGTTCGAAGCTTAAGTGCTCTTGTAACAGTAACTATATGCATTAACTGAGGAGGTGTCTCTGGTAGAGGTCGTAAGCCTTTCTGCCAGAATATATGCTGGGCAAACAAAGGTTGTCTTAGCCTCATATACCAAGCTCATTGAAGTGTACATATCTTGTGTGGAATACATAAAAGAATGCTCATGGGCTTCCTTAATTTTTCTTTATAGAGCTGCTCTCTTGATAGAGTGTTGGTTTTAGATGAACTAATAGTAATCCCTGATTCTCCATTTTTTCAAATTCTTCTTCAATTAGAGCCTGGTTATTGCCAATGCTGGTCTGGGTAATGGGATGAGTAGACACCAACTGCTGAGGATAGTAGAAGAGTATGGATTGGTGGAAACACTCTTAATGCCACCGAATAAACCATATTCATTTGTGAAATATGGGACAACAGAAGAAGCCAAGAAAGCCTTTGATGCCCTTAATGGAAAAGAAGTAACACTGGAAGACTTCAGCCAAAACGTTGTTCTATACATTAATTTTGTGGAAAAAGGTATAAGTTTTCTGCTTTCCTATATATCCAACTTCCTGCATACTACTTCCCTTTGCTTTTAACTTCCTGGGTTGTAAATATAGCTAAAATCACACTAGTCTTTGTAAGTAGATACAGAGAATGTGTCGTGGTTTTACCCCAGCCGGCAGCTGAGTACCACGCAGCCGCTCGTTCACTCCCCCCCCCCCCGGATGGGGGGGA